AATCATTATCGTAAAGGTATGGATTCTACATCGAATCCATATCATTTGTTATATCGTAACAATAAGGATTCTACATCAAATCCATATCTTTACGATAATGTTTCGATATCGAATCGTTATCATCACGACATTATTGATTCGATATCGCATCGACCTTGATTCAATATCATTAACCATATTGTAACCATATCATATCGACATCAAATTGATAATATCGTAACGATATCGATTCGATATCATTAAGATATGAATATCAATATCGATTCCATATTGATGTGATATCATTACGATATTATTGCGATATCGAATTGATATCGTTAGAATTTTAAGGGTTTCTGTAAAGTAGATAAAATTTTAAATTCAAATCAATAGGGAAAAAAAGTTTATTTACAGAATCAAGAAATATATGTAATATGTTTAGATTCCGTTTCTAATTTTCAGAATCAATTTGAAGAAGATGAAATAGATCTTTTAAACAATTACTTTATCAGCAACAGAATTCAATTAAAAATTAGATGATCTTAGTTTTTACGCAGAGAGATTTTAATAGAATGGAAAAAACGTGTTTCAAAAAAATTAATGAAAATATATGTTTGGGAGGTTATATATATATTGATTTTATATTTCACAATCTTTTATATAAAGAAAATTTATTAAAATAATAAAAAACTCAAATTTAAAATTTTATTGGCAATTTATTTATTATATTTATTATGATTGTTATTATTTTAAAAACCATTTCACTTTTAAATACCTATTTATTTAATGCAAAGTTTTTTGACTTTTAAAGATTCAGATAATATATTATAAGTAAAATATAAAGTTCTATTTTCATATTCTAGAATTTCTTGTATTGCAAATTTTCTTTTTAATAAATTACCATCATTTTTAAGTGTTTTGCGAAAAAAAGTTGAAACTTGATTATGATTTTTTTTTTTACAGCTAAACAAGAAAATGCTTTCAAACTTCACTTTTGATGCTTTTCTAAAAGTTCCCATTCATGATATACTAATGCATATATATAAGGTGTTACTTAACTTAGTATATATAATCCTTGTATAAATGTTTTTGGAAAAGAAGGATTTTCTTGTGATAATATAAGAAATAAAGATAACCATTCAAGTGATTGTTGTTTTAATTGTTTTGGATTTGTTGTTTTATTTTGGATAGTACAATATATTTTATAAAATCCATCTCAAAGTTTTCAAATTAATTGTGCATAAGATGATTTAAAAAGTAATTTTAAATTAAAAATCATAGAACAATTTCTTTATCATCTCCCATAAGAAATGTATACTTCCAAATATGAGATTTTTCATCTTCTCAAAAATGAAAAGATACTTTTAGTCGTTGCATTTCATCTATAATGATTTTTTGTGTTAAATCATTAAATAAATCATGTTCTTAAATTTCTGTAAGTATTAATTCCTAAAGTCGATCTGTAACTCATAAAAGAACATGTAATTCATCAAAAATTATATGATCAATTGGAATCATATCAAAAAGAGAAGGATTAATATGACTATTAATTTCCTTATGATTTATTACAATTTGTTCTATATTTTTTTTCAATATGCCAATCTTTATTTAAATCTTTGTGTTGATTTTTTGAACATAAGCACCAAGGACAAAAATATTTAGAGTTTGCTCCATTTAATCTAAGACAAATAGCTAAGAATTTCTAATCTGAACTAAAGTATAATTCAAATTTCCATAATGTTTCAAATATTTCTAATCCAAATTCTTTAAGTGATCATAATTTATTATAAAATGGACCTAATATAAATTTAAGTGTATCATAATTTTCAGTTCTTGGATACAATGCTACAGTATAATGATAATTTGCATGATAATGTCGATCTTCATAATTTAAAATCATTAAAGTTACCATAACATGTTTGATTTTTCTTTCTACATTTCTTCTATTACCAGAAATGCGTAGATAAATAATTGGATTTGATGATTTTAATATTTTTTGTTTTTGTAATTGTGGAATAGATAATATAAAATATCCTTTGCATTACGACAAACATCTAATCCTATTGTATTAATAACTTCTTGTATAATTTCAGAATTCATAAAATCTGATTCTTCAGATTCTATAATTTATTCAATTCATCTTTTTTTTTTCATATCAACTAATGAAATTTTAATTATTTTGTTCATATAATCAGTAATTGTAATACATTCATTAGAGATAGAATTTTCACGTGGTAAATGATGTTTTACAGCAGCTAAATCTCGATAAGAATCTCTTGATATCTGTTTTTGATCAATTACCTTTACTATAAATTAAATTTGAGAATTTTTTTCTGTTTGATTTTCATTTCCAAAATTTATTTGAAAGTCTATTTTATTAACAGAAAATTCCATTACTTTTAATCTAATTTCATCATATTGATGATAAATTCCTTTGATATTATCATTAAAACTGGATTGCGATTTTGTTGCAATTTTTTTAGCGCATTTTTCAAGTATTGATGGAATACAATTAGCAGTTAGTTTGATTAAATTTTCTCTTTATTTAATTCACATACTTTTTGTACACTATTTAATTATAATCCAAATATAAGAGAACCTGAAAGTATAGTTTTTGTTTTTAGTTTTAAAGTCTAAAAATTTATTAATACATGCTATATATTAATTAAAAAAATTAAAACATATACTAATAATTTAAAATTACTTACTCTTTCATAAATCAATGCTACATTAGATGGAGATTTGGTTGAAGAAACAATATATTGAAAGTTTGAACTATATTTAATACGAAAATGAAGTATTTCATAAATATAGTCAATTTTATAATGAATAGTTCATTTATTAGTAGCCTGTTCCTAAGTTGTTTCTATAACATAACTATGTGGAATTTTATATTATTGAATTTGCCTTTTTTTTCTTTTAACATTATTGATATCCTGAAAAGTCTTGATTCTTTCTTCTTACTTGTTATTTAGCCTGATAATAACTTTGTCAGGATAAATACCTTCTTTTATAATAACATAACTGAAGCTATGTTTTATTTTCTGATTTATATGTTCTCGATACAAAATATTATTATTTAAAGGGTATGTAGAATATTCTTCAATTTGAATACCGCATTTTACATTTTCTGTATTACTATTCATACTTTATCTACATCAAATTGTTAAACTTAATTTTGTATCACTAAAAATTTTGTATCACATTATTTACTCAAAAATGAAAATAATAATAATATAAATTGTATTTATTTTTTTATTGGTCAATTTTCATGTGATTTTATTTACCCCTAAATTTTCTCCATTCTGCAGATCAGCTGATATGTTTATCTCTTATATAACGTGACTTTGAAATTCTGAAATTCACAGCATGCTGATATTTTTTCCTTAAATAAATTTCATGTCAATATATATTTTTTCTTTTATTGAAACAATTTTATTTATAAGACCCATTTTTCAAAGTTTCAATTTTTGCTTTCCGCTCCGCTGTTTTTGTTTTTTCTCTTATTTTTTTCTATTGAAACAGTTGAACGGAAGTTCATGTTGCAATGAAAAAAGGTAAGTTACGACAGTTTGTATTTTCTCTTTTGAGTTGTTACTCTGGAACTCTGGAAGCGCAATTGATTTCTCCTCACCCTTTCTTGTGAAAGTGAGGTTTCTTTGATTAAAGGACTACTGGGTCTGGATGAGGAGCCGGTTATATATCTACCTTTATAAACAAAGAAACTTATCTGTGAGTGGAAGGCCAACCACCCTTTCTTCGTAGGAGTGTAGTTACTCTTTCTTCGTGGGAATGCAACTACCCTTCCTTCATGAGAGTGCAATCACCCTTTTTTCGTGAGAGTGCAACTATCCTTCCTTCATAGGAATGCAACCACCTTCCTTTGTAGGAGTGCAACCATCCTTCTTTCATAGGAGTGTAGCCACTCTTCCTTTGTGGGAGTGTAACCACCCTTCCTTCGTGAGAGTGCAACTACTCTTTCTTCATGAGAGTGCAATCACCTTTCCTTCGTGAAGGTGTTATTAAATTTTATTATTTTTATTATTATTTTATTAATAGGCAGAAAATGCTGTGAAAAGCCAGAGCTTTCAGTGATAGTTGGAGGTGATATCACAGGCCTTGATTATGATGAAATATCAGAACGCATCAAAGCTACTACAAAATTTGATTTTGTCCATATGCAGAAGAAGGAGGATAAAAGGTAAATTATTAATTGTTACAATTTATTCATTATTAAATTACTAATAAATGGTTTTTTCAGTTTTGGTCATGTTCACTTTGAATTATGGGAAAAAGCATCTCAGTTTTATTATAGTACAATGGAGAAGCGTTTCTATTATGATGATGATAAAGAAAAGGTCTAATACACTTTTATGATGTGATTTATTATAGTTCTGCTCAAAAGGTTATTTATAAAATGGTAAATTTTTTATTTTATTTATTATTATAAATTAACCTGGCAGTTCAGATAATGTAAAAAAAAAATTTGTTGTGTATTTAGGATACTGAGATAACCAATACTGGAACCTTAACTACTGTTTCATCAAGAGTTGAGATTAGCAATTATAATGATATAAATAAGAATACTGAGATGGCCAATACTACCTCAACTTCTGTTTTATCAAGTGTTGAGATTAGCAATTATAATGATATAAATAAGAATGAGAGGTCTAAAAACATAAAATAACTGAAAAGAGAAAATCTCCTGAATCTCCTATCAGTGTGTCATATGGGCTCTACAAGGACAAGTATGTATCTATTCTTTAACTAGTGCCTGACCTGTTCCGTTTAATTAAATAACTCAATAATAATCTCTATTTTTTGGTATTTTATTACAAAGCCATACATTTAATATAGTTTTGCATACATCTGGTATTAGAAACAAAGTGGATCTCTTAGTCTCTTCTGTTAGCGATAAGTTGATCATTATTGAGGGGAATTTCAGTGAAAAGACTGTTCCTGGAAAATCTATCAAAAATTTCTTACCTGTAGGATCGTTTAAAGCAAAAGTGAAACTTCCAAGCGGATGAGTTATATAAAAATATAATTTTATTGTTTTATGGTCGCTTATAACTGATATATCTTTTTAATAGAATTAAAACCATTTCTGTTAAAATTGAGATTGAGCACGATGTGTCAACTGTTACATTGGAAAAAAGCAAAAAAGTTTTTGAAATAAGCTAAGGTTAATTGTAATTCTTAATTAAAAATCGGATGTATAATAACAGAAATTAGGTAGAGATTCAATTGATTAATTGTAATTTTTAATTAAAAATTGGAAGTATAATAACACAAATTAGGTAGAGATTAAATATTCAATCAAGGCTTTAATCTATAATCTAATAAATTTAATAAATGCATTTTAAAAATCCAAAATGAAGAATATCTTTATTACATTTTTTTTTGTAAAGTAATACATTGAAACCAGTAAAAATGAATTTAGCGATTTTCAAAGGAGAAATAAGCATGATATGCCTGCCCGCCCTTAGACGCTCGCAAAGTAAGAATGGCAGTTCCTTCCTGATACTCTGCATTGTTAAGTTTGCTATCTACCCATAAACCAATATCATCTAATGTACTCATATACCCATCCTCCTTCTTAATATTTCTTTCATAAAACCCCTTCCAAAACGCGTCAAAAATAATATTTTTATGTCAGGTTTAGACTTGCTTTATTAATACAATGTAGCGTGATGGACCATACAAAAATAAATTGAAAGTATCCTGATACATGGGTTCTATGTGATACGATACGTTCATCAACAAGGTTCCCCTTGACAGATGTAGTATTTCTCGCAATAATGCTTGAAATCTATCCTGCGAGCGGGTATTCCTTGAGAGGATCTTTCGAAGACTATTTCGGTTTCGAATATTATCGTTTTCTTTGCAAGGAAGGTATTATTTTCACGCTGAGCATTGGTTTGATTCACCGGATTATCTTGTACATTGGCGGTGCGATTTGATACCTAGTATACTTTTATCATTATCGCCGGAAGCGTCATCCACAATCACGATGGACTTGTCGCCTGATCTTGCATAATGATTTGGTTCGATTGATTCCTTTGTCCATTAGCAGAGCCAGATTCCATAATTCCTAGCGTACTAATGAGCTTCTTCTCGGTCTCTTCCACAGTTTTATCGCATTTACCAGATTGATTTTATTCTCCAGAGGCGAGTGCCGATTCTTCTCTAACCAGTTCAATGATTATGGGACACGAAGGGTATGAAGGGTACTTCAGTTCAGCTCGTATAATGTGCTTTTCAAGACATTTCCTGATTATACTGTATGTCCACACGTTAATATGGTAAACGCCTGAAACCGAAAACTAAGGATGAAGATAAAGGAGGGTTTGAATTGACAATTAAATTTGTCATGGCGAAACTAAAGAATCTACTACGAAAAGTGATGGATGATAGAGCAAGCATATTAATTGTAACATACTTGTTATATTTAAAAGTAAAAAACAGAATCAGTAAACACATCTAAAAATTTATATCGTTAATGATGCTTAACTAGGACGAACAACCGATTGAAAAACCATTAGGACGATACCAATATGCACAATAACAGACCTTTTTTTTATGAGATCGTTCGTTGCACATATTTCTTGGCCTTTCATTTCAAGCATATTTTAATTGTTGATGTTTGACATCATTTTCGGAAGAAGAAATTTAAAATATTTTGGACAAATTTCCTTGGACAAGAAAATCGAATATTAGTAGACATGATAATAACATACAGAATTATTATTATACTTCAGAATTAAAAAATATGAAAAAAAAGTCGACTGTAAATTTTGTTTTGTCAAATTTATGATTTTTTTCGTGATATTCGCTCTTAAATTTCGTCGCACATCTAACTACAATATTTGTCAAGTGTATTCGTATCACCGCAGAAAATCACGGTTATTGTGTAACCGTGATCGATCTTGGTTATTTATTTACTTTTTTTTTTTTCTTTTTCCTTCCTTTTTTTTTTCTCCTTAAATAATGGAGTTCAAAAATTTAGATCCTAGACTTTCTCGTGCTTTATCAAAACTTAATTATCATAAACCAACTTTAATACAGGCGGAAGCAATACCATTAGCGTTAGCTGGAAAAGATATTTTAGCACGAGCCCGTACTGGTAGTGGAAAAACTGCTGCTTATTGTCTGCCTGTAGTTCAAAAGATCTTGGCTGCCAAAGACGTGAGTTAAATAAATTTCCCTTTTTCACCCGCCCAAATTATCGCTTCCGCAGGATGAGATATTTCCCTTAAACCAAGTTTTTCTTATATCCTTTTTTCTATTATTTAAATACTGATAGAATCCTGCGGAGCAAAGACCAATATTATAAAGGGCGGGTGGAATTCCATTCTTTAATCCACGTATATTACTGGCTAAAGGTGTCTCAAAACTATTCAATTATAAATTACAGGCATTATCAGAATCTTCTTTAGAACGTGTTGCAACGCGTTCAATTATCTTAGTTCCCACTCGTGAGCTTGCTGTTCAAGTAACAAAATTTTTAGATGAATTATTGATATATTGTTCTAAAGATGTGAAAACCGCCAATCTAGCTGGTAACATCCCTATGAAATTACAAAAGTAACTTTACTTATTCATTGAGCTATTAAAAAATTTCATAATATATTGATTATATAATAATAGATTTATATTTGTTTCCTTAAAGATCGATATTATTAGAAATACCGGATATAGTTATCGCAACACCAAGTCGTATATTATCACATCTCGAGTCACAAGTATGTTTTAATTAAACAATTATGTGTAGCACATTTACTATTTATCATCTCATTTTTTTTTAATTTTTTTTTAAAAAAAAAATATAAAGTCTTTAATTGTTCGCAATAGTCTAGATTCACTTGTTATTGATGAAGCAGACCTTATACTCTCATATGGTTACGAGAAAGACCTTCAAAAAATATTATCATTTCTTCCAAAAATATTTCAAAGCATATTGATGAGCGCAACATTAACAAAGGTGACATAAATTTTGTATTGTTTCAATTTGAATCATTTTATTTATATTAAATATATTTTTTTCTTTCTTCTTAGGACGTTGAAAACCTAAAGCAACTTTTATTAAGAAATCCGGTATTTTATTGTTATATTTTATCATGAGGGTTTTATATGCATTAATTAATTATATATGTTATCATTAAATATAGATTATCTTAACATTGCATGAAGAAAAAGAAGAAACCAATCTTTTAACACAATATGCTGTGAGGTACTATATAATCAAAATATTAATTTTCTTTATCACCATCATGATTCTTTTTTTGTGTTTAAATAATTTTTCTTCTTTACATGTAGATGTTCGGAAATAGACAAGTTTCTTTTGATATATGTTATCCTAAAACTTCGTTTAATTAAGGGAAAGTGTATAATATTTGTGAATGATATTGATCGATGTTATCGATTAAAACTATTCTTGGAACAATTCTCCATAAAAAGCTGTGTTCTAAATTCAGAATTGCCTTTAAATTCTAGGTAAATAAAATATTTTCGACACAACGTTATCATAATAAAAGTTATCTAATTTAATGTCGATTTTATTTATCTAGATATCATATCGTGCAGGAATTTAATAAGGGAGTTTATGATTACATCGTTGCGACCGATGAAGGAGATTTTAAAAGTGAGCAAGATACTGAAGATGAGTTGAACGAAGAAGAGCTTGGAGGTATGTAGTTATAATTATATTCGTATTCTTTTGATGAAAGTTGTTTTAATGTAATCGTTTTCATCATGCAGATAATGCAGATTTAGAATCAAATGATATGACTCGTTCCAACAAAAAATCAAAATCACCGGAAAAAAACGGCAAGAAAAAATTGCGAGCGCGAAAAAGGGATAGAGAATATGGAGTATCTCGCGGCGTTGATTTCATAAATGTGGCGGCAGTCATTAATTTTGATTTTCCAACTTCAGCAAAATCATATATTCATAGAGTAGGACGAACCGCACGCGCTAACCAGAGAGGAATGAGTTTAAGTTTCGTTGTACCAAAAGAACTTGTTGGACAGAACAAAAATGTAACGTGTTTAACAACAAAACGCGACGAGGAAATTTATGCACGCGTAGAGAAGAAACAATCCCTCGCTAATTCTACAATCAAACCTTATTCATTTGATATGAATCAAGTAGAGGGATTTCGTTATCGTATCGAAGATGCATTGAGAGCAGTGACCCGTATCTCTATTAGAGAAGCACGAGTAAAAGATGTTAAATCAGAAATATTAAATTCCGAGAAATTGAAGGTATAAATCGATAAATCGTTCCTTTGGATTCTTGTAGTAATATAATTAAAATGAGGCTAATTAATTTTTCCTAAATTATTTCAGGCACATTTTGAGGACAATCCTAATGATTTAACTATCCTACGTCATGATATTACAATCCATCCTGCTAAAGTTCAACAACACATGAAACATATACCATTTTATTTAATGCCGAAAATTGCACCACCCTCTGGTGTTAATTCTGTTCAAGATGATAACGAAGATTCTTCAAAATTAGGACACATTCCATTTCATAAAAATTTACCAAATAATCTTCGTCGAACTCATAATTTTACTCATAAGGTATTTCAAAAAATTCTTATTGTCTTATTGTCAAATTATAAAGACTAATTTTTAATTAATATGTAAAATAGAAACGCAAAAATGATCCTTTAAAAACTTTTAGTATAGGTGATGCTTTTTCAACTAATGGAAAGAACAAAAGACAGGTAAATAATTTTTTTTTTTAAAAAAAAAAATTATTATATAATCAAACTAAATTAACTTTTTAAATTTTTTTATAGAGAAAGAAATAAAGATATGCTACTTTTTTGAAGATGGTTATATTATACATATAATTTTTGAACTTTATTAACATTTCATAAAAATTATAAATTTTTACGCAAAAGAATTATTTATTCAGCAAAGCTTTTTTTTTATGTTTTTCGTGCTTTTGATAAGGGTTGTTAAAATAACATATTAGCAATAATAAGTAACATTCAATAAAAATGAATAGAAAATAAAATATCATCTATAAATAACAAAGTGAGAAGTCCATGTAAAAGAGGGTTTACTTTCATTCCTGAGTTATACCAAACTCCCAACACCTGTACCCCCCGTGATAGAACTAGCTTTATGTTCTTGGTGTTTTATTGCGGCTATACAATAACATAATCCTGTAATAGCTAAGGTAATGCCAGGTAGGATGTAAGCCCAATGTTCAACTATACCTATAATCATCATTGACGTGGCAAATCTAAAATCAAAATTTTAAGAGAAATTAAAAGTCGATACGAGTAATATTTCTTCAATGCTAAGAACTTACAACAAATATCCTGCAGTCCTAACATAATTATTCTCGAATGTTTTGATAAACTTATCACTAATAAATTTAGGAATTATTAATAAAGGTACTAAAATTGAGGTGAAATATTGTAAAAAAAGCAATTTACAATTTCTCGCTTGTCGGGCAGATCTGAACAGATTTGTTGTAAATAATGATTAATACGATCCTTTTTTTCAAAAGAGGAAAAAACAAATAAATAATAAATAAATATATATATATACCTTCATACACAACGGAACTTCCACAAATATGAGAATAAAGACTAAAATCCTATGCGATGAATAAAAAAAAAATTGTATATAAGATGTTGGAATTTTCAAAAGGATTTATTGGAAGAAAATCATAAATTAAATACCATACCATGCTATAATTGAAAAAAACGAGAAAGGGATGAAACCAGCAATGAAAAGCACTGAAAATTACAGGAAATATATATAGTTAAAATATATCAAAAAAAAAAAAACAGGCTCAAAAAAAAATGATTTTTGTTTTAAAAAAAATAATATTTACAAACTATGGAGAGTAGACCAAACCTTTGGTTTGTTCGAGTAATGGGATAAAAAAAAAAAATTTGATTTTTTAGAATTCGTCGTATAACCGAAAAATTTTCCGCTTGTACTCACCATTGAGCATAGATAGTAAAGTTTTTAGATTTGAACTCTTCAACAAAACCCATCGTTTTTTTTATTTTTGCTTATTATGAAACTATTAAAGTTCGATAGAATGTAGAATATTTTTTTTTGAATTATAACCACAGAGAAAAGAATTATTGTTTCTGATAATTTCTTATTCTATTTATGGGTTCGATTTTAATGATTTCTAGAATCATTTTATTACATCATCATTGATTGACCCAAATTAGAAAAACCAAGCATGCCAAGAAGAGTTCCATGGACTTCTATAATTAAATAAATTACTCGTACGTAACAAAGTTTCCTGTATTTTCCTGTATGCAAAAAACATCATATTAACCTTAATTAAGTTCACATTTATAACTTGGAACGGGGAAGATTTACACGTGATATAACAGGTGACTCTGACACCAAAGAAAAAAAAAAGGGTTCTATCGATTTAATAGAATCCATAAAAAAAATGATTTATCATTTTAGGATAATTCCACAAATTACAATCGAACCTTATTTGTTATTCGCGAAATGTAGGTCAAAAGCAACTAAATATTTCGGCTAAACCACAAATGTAATTACCCCCTAATGAAATTTAACTATATTTCAACCAAATTTTTTTTTTACAATTGGTTTTATGTCTGAAATAGGTTATAGATGATATAAGTACATCATGAACACGCGATATCGGAAGTAATTGACAAACAAATCATACCCATTGTTTGTAATTAATGATTTTTTATTTCACCAACTTTATTTCTTCATCTGGTCTAAACAAATTTGGCAACTAACAAATCTCGGCAAGCGTCAAATTCATTTTTGAGTTTAAGAGAGTTTTATCGTTATCGATCAATTTAAGCTTTTTCTTAATAATTTTAATTAAAATTTAAAGAACGTATGTAAAAACATATATATCTTTGAATGGTTTTGCTTATTATAATAAATTCTTAGTTTGTTAGTTTACGATTACAAAATACGAGATTAAACACAACGAAAAAAAACTTTTTTTTTTGTAATTATATAATTTTTTTTTCATTAGTAATAAAGCTATCTACATTTACATATACAAAAATTATATTATTATTATTAATTTTTTTTTAATCACTCTTCGCGTAGTAAAAAAAAAATAAAATAAAAAAAAATTAAATAAAATCTTTGTAAGATGTCGTTTTTTTTTTTCGTGTTTTTTTTTTCGATTTTTTTTTGATTTTGTTTTAAATAATAATTTTGGTCGATTTATCGGGGTTGTCATTTTGTTTAATAAAAAACTTAATTTTTTTTGTTGCTAAACCTATATATTTTACGATGATGAAAATTAAGACGAAATTTTGTGGATCGATTACCACATAATTTTTTTTTTTTTTTTTAAAAAAAAAAAATAAAAAAAAATAAATAAATAAATAAATAAAATTGGCCTGGTCGTTTCTTTGAATGGTCGTTATTCGAATTAAACGCGAGAAAGGTATAAAATCATAACCAAGCCCTAACGAGTGACGGATTCGTGAAGTTCGATATATCGTGCTTATTTGCCCAATCATAAATCAGGATTATCGGACATAAAAGAAAATGAAATGAAATGAATCTAGTTGTGAAAAAAAAAAAAACGCTGTACAAGAAAAAAAAAACGATGTGTTCTATATAAAAAGGGAAATGTAATTGTTCGGCAAATAGAAATTATAAAAAAGGGGGAAATATATACGCATTGATGCCGAATAATGACCCCAAGTTATCTAAATCCCAAGAAAATAAAAATGCATGAATGAATAACATCTCTGTCCTCATTATTTGTGAACGTTTAAGCAGGAAAACATTTTCCCTTGAAATAACGCTATGTGAAATAATAAAGACATTGAGAAAAGGAAAATACATGAAAGAAAAAAAAAGAAAAAATATAATTGAAAAAAAGGGGAAAAATATACAAGGCAATTTTCAAAAGGATGAAAAAATTTTTTGTTTTAATAAACTTTCACGTCAAATGACAAGAGAATATGTCGATAAATATTTGAATATGCTTATCCAAAAGAATAAGCAATTCTCATAAAGTATTAGATCTTTTTTAATTGGAACATATTCCTAGTCCATTATTATTAAATCCACCGACAAAGTATCCAGTTCCACAAGACGAATCACCTTCATGACGACTGGAAGAAACACTTTGCGGCGAGGAATTGTATGTTGATTGTGAATATCCACCGGGAGGTGTTGTGTTGTCAGCGTTTGGAGTTGAATCATTAGAAATAGTGTTTGTCTCTATGCTACCATCAGCTTCCTGTTGTGTTGGAGAATGAAAAGGTGAAGTAGTTGGCGAAGCATGTATAGTCGGCGTGGCTATGCCTAAATAATTGATGAAATTTTTAATAAGGTAAATTTTGACAAAAGGGTTGGCATCATAAATAAGTACTTACCAAAAACGTCAACTGGTGAAGCAGAAGGAGTGGCTGGGTGAGATGGCGTCAAAGATAATCTATAATTTTCATTATCTAATTGCGATGTGGAACTATATGACTTTTGATGCCAAGCATGTTCAGTTGAAGCCGAAGTGGTTGCATGACCGTTAAATGGCCAACTATCTTCGTCATTATTAAGAAGTTCTGCGCAACCAGATCCTTGATCTTTTCCAAGCACGGGGAAAGGATTATAATCAACGTATTGGGGTGAATTTACAGGAGTTCCTTCATTATCAACTAATGGAGATGTCATATTCGCAAAATGTCCTAGGTCAACATTTGGAGATTCATGAGGAGTACCACAAATAGGAGAGACGTTTCCATGAGGTGGACTTGGGAAAGGTGTGGAAATTTGTGACAAATGTTGGATCTCGAATCCACCTGTAGTAGTACCAGGCGATATATGTAGAGTACCATATGGCAAATTCTGAAATTGATCGTTGTTACAGTGATAATTTTTATGATGAGTCGTTATCTTTGTACGAGTATCAATAGGTGGCAGTGAAGTGGAAGGTGATAAAGAGGAAGGAGTCGATGATGATGATGATGATTCGGAAATCGGTGGAGAGGATTTAATTATGGGTGGAGATAAAATTGAAGGGAGATTATTAGAACTCGTGATGAGAAAGTTGTCGTTGTGGATAGGATTGTAGGTTATGTTACCGACCTTACTTCCAGCACCCAAGTTGGGCAATACAAACATTGAATCATGCGGTTGTTGATGCTGTTGTCCATTGTTTTCAGGATTTGACCAAAAGTCCATCATAGATAAACGATGTGAACTGCAGGTATTTGCATGATCCTGTAACACTTGTAAAGCGGTGAACTGTGAATACCTCTGAAATAAAGAAACGATCCTATCATAATGTTGTTCAGCAACTTGACTGGTTTCTTCATTTCCCCTAAATTTATTCAAGGCATGAATCATTCCAGCCTGTAATAAACACCAAGTCGTACAATTCAAAAAACCTCGGAAAGGAGTAGAAGCTGTTCGAAGAATCTTTTCACCAATAGGAGTAACTTGAGCGGCTGCCTGGGTACATTTCAAAAGGGAATCGAAATTTGCAATGTATCGTCTATGTAATAAGATGATGAATGAATGATACAGCATATGTAGATGCAAGTTGGTCGTGGAAAATTTGTTGGAGTTGTTAATTAACGCATCAGTTGCCTGAAGAGGTAAATGATACGCCCAAGCATGAATTTGATCTTCAAAATTTGTAACAACATTATCCTGATTAATATATGGCGTAGAGTTGATCTTTGAAGAAAAATTATGCTTCAATAATAAATGTAACATTCTAGTAAATTTGATCTGATGAACAAATTCATTGATAGCGCCATTCACTTTTAGCTCAGGTTCATCAACTTCGGTGGCAGGTTCGGGGATCGTACATTCATCTTCTTCAATGTTACTGGCTTTACCGATGCCGCAACATACCAAAACGTCTACCATGAATAATGACCACCACAACCTTTTTCTTAACTCTTTATGAGAATTATCAAGTAGGGGATCTTCACAATCCTTATTTAATTCTAATTCGAGAGCCATACGATTTGCCATTCCAATATACATCCATCGACGAAAATAACCTGGGGAAATTCCCGAACGTCTGGTATTGTGTTGTTGATAAATCGACATAAGGATGAGAGCCGCTATCGTCGACATCCTTGGTGCATCCATAAAATCGTCAAGCAAAGCACGGGCCCTGTCAAAATAGACCCACCCTCCTGTTTCAAGGGTCTCTGGATCAGCGCGCACGGATGAACGCTCAGAAAATTCGGCTGAAATGGCGAACATCGCGTTAAGCAACAAAGGAGATGGCGGATCATTAGAATTTTCACGTTGCTGAAGGAAGAGGTTTTTATTGAGAACTGGTACATAAAGATGAACATTGGTCCAATAAAGTTCCAATAAATGTTCGACCATGTCATTATTTGGCATGGCTGGATTTTCAATTGAGGGAAGCTTTGGCTCTGGTTTAGCGACTGATATGGAATTGGTCTGCCAAGTCGCAGCTGTAAAATTTTTTTTAAAATAATTTTTTTTTTTAAAAAAAAAAAAGGAACGAAAAAAAGTGAGAAAAATAAAAAAAAAATTTTTTTTTTTTGTATTAAAATAGGTCTGATCATCGTAATACCAGAATACCGGATGATTTATAGTCTATCATAACAAAAAAAAAAAAAAAAATTTTTTAAGGTGATAAAAAATGCTTACGTTGAGGAGAGGAAGTTATGGTTGAACTGTTAGTAAGGATTCCTTGAGTAGAAGTCGTAGCGCGACGAGA